GTTTATTTGACAAGTTTGTCTCTGTGAGTTCTTAATGGCGTTATGGTTTGCTCTTTGGGATAGAAGCTATTATATTTGATAAATGGTGCAATCCATGGTGAAGGCGACAAAATACAGGATAATCAACTACTTGCGGTCATGTCACATATTTACAATGTCAGTATTTCACAAATTCACCTTAGTACCTCGAGAAATGTAAAACAAACATATCTATTCTGAACAACTTGCGAAGGCCTTGTTTCACGTGTGGTCCGCTTACTGCTGCCCAAAATGTATATATTTTGGCCCTTTTATTTTTGCTGTAGAGGAAGACTATAGGGGTTTCCATTACAGAATATATATAAGTATGTGAGTGTATTAGTCTTAGTCAGTTTAAACTGATGTTGAAAAATGATTGAAAAAGAGACAATCAAGTTATCATCAAGGTCTGAATATGTTGGGTTGTCCGGTACATTTATGAAGGTTTTGGGGAATTTGTTATATCCATAATACACATTTCCACGGACAACAGATGGAAATCCTCATTGTGAGCCTCTAGGCACTGGTGGAGGAAGTACTCTGATCTTTGCTTAAGTATAAAAGTATACACCAACACCACACTGTAGAAATACAAGTAAACGCCCTGCATTAAAAATGTTACTTAAGTAAAATAACCAAATGATTAGCTGCATCAAATACTTCAGTACTAAATCTAAAAGTATCCATTATCAAAACATCCATTTTCAGTATAACATATATTATATCTCTGGTTTATATATAGTGATGCATGAATGTGTCTATCATTTAAATGTTTGCAGCTGGTAAAGGAGACAAAATTAGTAACTTTTTATACGGTCAGGTATCCCCATCCATAATATTACATAATAATGCATTAATTACTTTTTCAATTATTAATATGTACCTGCAAAAGTAACTAATAATTAATGTTGTCAGATAATGGAGTAAAAAGTACAATATTTGCTGCCAAAATCTAGTAGAGTGCAAGTATAAAGTAGCATAAAATGGAAACACTCAAGTAAAGTATATGTACCTCAAAAAGTACAATATAGTACTTGAGTAAATGCACTAAGTTACTTTCCACTACTGCTTATAGTCAATGTGGTGCAATGCATGTATTGTACAGTCATTGTTTAAATAGATACATCTTATTCTAGCTATAACTGCAGTGCACTCTTAAAGAGTGTTGAGGTGAAACACGGGACATAGACGTTTTACATTCAGACTCATGCTATCAGCGTCATATAAAATGCAAAAGTGTCTAATCTGTCTCAGTGAGGAACAAAAGGCCTACAGTGGCCAGTGCTCTTCAGAGGTACTATGCTTTTAATCGTGAATAGTAGAGATAAAGCATGAATGCATAACTACGACAAAGTCACCAGTTCAAAAGCAAGACTGATACATAAACCAGTTGTGAAGAAACTGATGAATATGAAGAAGCAGAATAAGAAATACCCCCAACACTCTTGGACACACATTATACAGATTCTTTATGTGTGCTCTTTTTATGATCAAACACATTTACTACCACTATTTGATGATTGTCAGTGCAATGCTGCATTGACTATCCCCTCACAGAAGAGTCACTGATTGCTCTTCTCATTGACCATGTGGTGTGTCAGTGTTATGGATCTCATGACACATGTTTCTATGTGTGTATTTTCTGTTTCTTCTTTGAGTCTGTAGTTGTATATGTCGCTTTGTAATAGTCTCTTTCTTTTTGTAGACTTTTTGTAGTTGTTTTTTCCTCTTCCTGGTCATTTTTGTGTCTCTTTGTAGTCATGTTGAGTCTTTTTGTAGTTGCTTTAGTGTCTCTGCGATCATGTTGTGTCTCTTTATGGTGCTTTGTGCTCTTTTGGAGTATCTACCTGGTTGGCATGTGACTCTTTGATTAACATGTTGTATGACGTCTAGCAGAGGACCCTGACACTGGTAGGTGTGTTCAGTATTCTATCCATGTTGGGGCACTTTGGGGGGGAGGTGGAAATATTTGTGAGTAGCTTAAGTATTATTGAATAACTATACATCCTCGAGTGTATAAAGGTTATAGTTAGCAAGCAAGCTTAAAAGTAATGCTACAATGCTATAATAGTTTTAAGCAATTGATTAACTCAAAGTGACAATATTCACTTGTATATCAATAGTAATAAATAACATCACGTTTTCAATTCAGTTTAAATTATCTTGAACAATGGTGTTGATTAAGGAGTGAGATAATGTTACAGTTCTGTGGAGGAGGTGTCCGTCAAAAAAGATAGGGAACCAGAGGCCTTTTTGTCTATGGTGTAAAGGAGTTGAAATGTGCTGTATATCAATGGCTGGAGTGTCTGCTGCTGTGCTACGCTGCCTCTTCTCATGCAGTCTTATGCAAATGGTAAGTGATAGTCAGATAAGCTGGAGCAACAATCCCTCACTGCCCTAATAAGTCAATTTGAGTGACCGACTGTGGTTATTCATCGAGGGACCAGCTTGCCTCTCTGATCTAATCCTGAGTTATGACAATCATAACTTATGTAGCTGGGGCTGATGATGCAGTTATGTGAACAGACATTTTTCTGCTGTCAGCATTTTTACCAATTAAAATTATATATTCTGACCAAGTACAGAACCAGCTCAGCTGCCCTCTTCTGTTTCATCTTCAGTGGAGGAAGCAGAGAATGTTACTACTGTCAAGTCTAATGTTATAGCACTTTGGTACAAAATGTAATTACTGGTCAAGTTATCTTTAGATGGTCAAAATGAATGTGAGCTTTCAGGGCAGCACAAAAAATATCCTCTGGTCTGTTTCTTTATGACACACAATTTAAATAAACCCCTCAGGTTCTGTGTATCAGGCAGGCATTTCAAATGAAATTATATGTCAGTGAAAATTCTGACTTGATAAAAACTCAATAGACAAGTATGAATGTACCAGGTTGTTGAGAGATTTAATGACAAATTCAAGAAATGATTTGTTATTATTTAACAATTTTAGTAATGGGAGACTCACATGTGACATTGATTTCAAACTATATAATAAATGCAGAAATATTATTAAATGTAATACATAGGCCTAATTTACAAAAATGTTGCCTATTATTTTTAGCACATCATTTAGTACATCATTGTGCAGTAATATATATTGCACACTAGGTGGCAGTTTAGGCTTGTTTTTAGCTTGTTCCCTTGACCTGCACCATGATGATCAGCTCTTACAAGCTAGGGTAAAATGCCTAAAAACATTACAGATTCAAACATTAAAAAAATCTAAAAAGTGTGAGGTAGACTTTTATTATAAAATGTAGCCAAATGTTAAACAATATTGTATTTTAAAAAGTTTCATAGGTAAATTCAATTATTTAGTTTAAAAAAATTCTTATACAGTTTTATGTTTCACTTGGGGCTACTCAAAATGAATCATTTTAATTAATTGCAATTCCGAAAAACCTTATTTTCCCAAGATTTTCCTGAATGATTCCTGACTGATTCTCCTTCCTTAACTTTTTCCTCTTATTTTTCACATAGGATTTTGTGAAAGCGCTATCTTACCAGAATATGACTTATTATCTAAACTAATGGTAAAATATTAATAACACATTTGTTATTTATTGTTCAATTACTGTGACATTAAACTGTTACTTTTAACTCGATCCATATTAGCAGGATATTTATAGTTGTGTTTTGTTTTTTTAACAGCATTCATGCTCGATTTGAATAGAAGCACACATTACTAATAACAAAATATATACATATCTTAACATTATTGAATATATTGAAACTAAATATACAACTATACAATTATTTATATGCATACATGCAGAAATGCATAGCACTACTCATTAACACATTAACAAATACAGCTTTACTTAACGATGCATACATCGAAATAATCCACAACACAAACACACTAAAAAGAGAACAACAACACGGATAAACCCCGAGATTATTCAGCTGTTCATTTCTGAAGCGTGAGTGACATTGTTAAAAATGTTGCTGTATAATAACTGTATCAGCAGATGACAGTTTTTGGCTTTCTGAGGAACAGATCCTCATTGAGCCACCAGGGGGCTCTGTTTAGCAGATAATATATTCGCCTGTGAAGCTCTCCCCTCTTAAATTCTGCACCAAAGCCTTCTCATTGGTCCAAATACTCACATGGGGTCATACATTGGCCAATAGAATTTGGGCTGTTCAGGGGCTGTTGCTAAGGCATTTGAGAGGCAAAAAATGAAGAAAAAAAAACCTGGCAGTGGGCTGGCTCCTTCCTTCCACCATTTCACCCTCACATTCGTCTGGCTCCTCATCCTCCGTCTCTAGTACCTCTCAGTGCACACCTCTGCCTGCTTTTTCATTTGTCACTGATGGGTGAAATGAGGATATCGTAGCGAGAGTTTTTTGGGGGTAATCATGAGCGACAAAGTAGATCCTCCCTCATAAACCTGGAGCTGTATAGCCCCACCTCCCCCTGTATCCTGCCACTTGACATTTGAGCTCAGACAACACTCGCAGCCCGTCTGTCACCATTTGCCTTAGATTCGCCTCCCAATTCCTCCAGAAATATACATGGATATGCTGTTAGCTCTCCCATGAGCCACATACATGGGATGTGCATTGATCTTACCAATAGGCCTACATGACGAGTCTACTACCCTTTAATTAAGACCTAAGGTATCCTATTTTTTGAGGATTCATGAAAATAGGTGTCAACCACTTGCAGTGATATTTTAGGGGGGGTTCATGTCTGTGAGCTCCAGTAAAATGTGTTACACAGCTGTGGAGAAATGTAAAATACCTCCTTTACTATACTGGCCATGTTCCAACTCATTCCCGACCCTCACATATACAGCAGGAGGAAGATAGAAATGAAAAGCCCCCCAAGCCCCCCAAGCCTCTGTTTGCTACCCCTTCCCTCCCCTAGATAGCTGCAAAATGTGATAGTTTCTCTCCCCTCTCATTGGCTTGTGCCTTGTGATTGGCAGCTCTATCGGCCCGCCTCGTCGCTCTCCGTACATGGATCGGTCTGCTACAGAGCCCGAGCTATGAGCATCTGAGAGCGGAGTGGAAACAGGAAGAGGAGGAGGTGAGGTGGAAGAAAGAAGACAGAGGAGAGAGGAACGGGCCAGACAAGGTGGCGAGGAGTGCAAGGGAGGAATAGGGGAGCCAAGAGGGGCGTGTGGACCAAAGAGAGCGAAGGCAAGAAAAACAGAGAGGTAAAAGAAGGGCTACAGTGGAGCTTCTTCGTGTGCTATTTGCTAATGGCTAAATGTAAATACACTTCATCTACGAGTGTGGAAGAAGCGCGAGCATGTGTTTCCATTTCATTTTATCCCGTGTGTGTCTATAAGTGTGTCTATTATATGTGCCAACGTCCTGGCAGAACATACTGCAGTGTGTGTGTGCGTGTGTGTGTGCGCGTGCGTGCGTGCGTGTAAGCTTCATGCATGAATGTGCAGCACAGTCTGCAGACAGACAGACACACAAACACACTCAAACACAGATACACAGATACAGTGCTCATGTGCAGACACAGAATGCAGGAGCAGAAATGTGAAATGAAGAATCTAGTGAAGGGAAACTGTTGCGGTTACACTCAATTAAGTGTGTGTGTGTGTGTGTGTGTGTGTGTGTGTGTGTGTGTGTGTGTGTGTGTGTGTGTGTGTGTGTGTGTGTGTGTGTGTGTGTGTGTGTGTGTGTGTGTGTGTGTGTGTGTGTGTGTGTGTGTGTGTGTGTGTGTGTGTGTGTGTGTGTGTGTGTGTGTGTGTGTGTGTGTGTGTTACAGTGAGAGCAAGTGAGGATTCATCTCCCTTGTAGTCTTGTGTGTAAACTGTGTCACATCACTACTTGGCTCCAAAGAAAGTTCAGATTAGTCTGTAACACATCTCACACAAAAGCTTTATGTCGGTATTTTTCTTTGATTTAATAAAGAGCTCAAAATGTGAGACTGCCCCCTCTCATTTTGGTGTTTGTCGGCTAAGATTTATTAAGTCGCCAAGTCACTTTTATCATGCTTATTAACTTATTTCAAAGAAACTTGTTAGCACATCTCTGGTGAAGTGGTGCTTTTGGATAAGTCTTTGTACAGGAACTCTGTTTTAAAGATTTCTCTATGAAATGAACTAATGGATTTGTTGACACAATTGTATGAGTGTTATAGAGCTGCAACCATTAGTTGATTACTCGATCAGACAGGAAATAATATGCAACTTTTTTGGTAATAGATTAATCGTTAGTCATTTTCAGTGCATAATGGCAGTAATGTGTTTTTCAGCCTTTTTAAATATGGATATTTCTTGCATTTCTCTTTTTTGTAAAATATCAAAGTGAATTTCTTTGAGTTTAGGACTGACAAAACAAAACATGTCAAGACGTAACCCTTCACTTTGACAAACCTTTATGGACATTTTCACAATTTCACAATAGACAAAACTATTTATTTAGAACATAAAGTTGCGGGTCACTTTTTCTTCGTGTTTTAAATACAATAAATAAATTGTATTTTGGGTTACTTTCTACTGTATGACTAGTACCCAACGTATGCTTCCAGTTCATTTGATTTTCAGCTTTTGACAACCACCTGAACATTTGATTCTAGGTTCCTACTCCTCTCACAACCCAGCTGTTTGAACACAAAACACACACGTGCACCCGGTGCCTTCTTCAAACCTGTTAACCTCCCTCATTTTCTTTGTTAACAAAAAAAAGCCATGTACATTTTGTATCGCTTGCAAAAGACACCCCTCTTCCTTGCTCTTGACCTTGCCTTGGTACGTTCCAGTACCCCTCAGAGAGGGCTGTGCTTTATGGAGCATACACCGGGAGAAGCTGCTATTAAAGAGAGGGGGAGAAGGGGATAGAGCTGAGGGGAGTGTGGCTGCGGGGGTGTTATTTTTAGAAATGTGATTGATATTCGACTCATACTGTACTCTCTCTCGCTCTGTGATTGTGGCGCTTTTTCAAAACCAATAAATTCACACATGTGCATGCATCCAGGGAGGATTGTCCATCCAGCCTATCTGTCGCTTCCTCTTCATCTCTTCTCCTCTTGTTAGCCAGCCTGCGAGCCACCGGAGACAGACCTAGTCTGGTGCAGCCCATCTCTCCTTTTATGGTACAGGATCCTTACTACTGGCTCACAGACAGTCTCAGCAGGAGATGCACATCTGCAGTGATTCACTGCAGCTAGCAAGCAGCTCCAGATAGTGTGCAAGAAAAGGACAGGCTGTTGGTTTGTCTAAATGAGGACGCAGCCTATTAGCAGATTGTCTCTTAACAATGACAGTTTTTTTTATTTAACTGTGTATTGCTTGCAGACGTCTATGTAGAATGAAAAAAAAAAAGGAGATTTAATCTTCCCCCCCCCCCCCCCCTATCTTGATGTCAAAAATCACACGCATACACTCCCCTGCTTGCTTGAGACCGTGCTCCCAGCTCTGGACTAAATGATATCATCGGTTGCCAGGGATACAAGGACACAGCATGCAGAGAAAAGGGAGGGTGAGGCATAGGCAGAGCCATACACATTGCATGAAAGAGAATGGAAAAGGCTGGGATATTGGGTATCTAGAGAGAAAAGGAGCCTTGTTGAAACAAGTAGTGAAGAATAAAGCGAAGGGCAGGGCAATGAAGAGGATAGTCAGGAGAAGAAGAAGGCCTGTCAGAGGTTACTGGCCCATCCATCCTCTCACTTGTCTCTCACATCTCATTCCGTCCTCTTCCTTTGTCTAGAGAGGGTCAGGTTTGCAACAGTGCGAGTGTGTGTGAAAGCACGTGTTGTAGGAAATGAGAGGCAAGGAAGAGAATGGTACCATTACATTAGGGATTGAGGAAAGATAAATGCCTTGGTTTGAGACAATAAAACATTTCCTGTCTTCTACATCTGTGCTCCAACTGACTGTGGTGTTCCCTTACTCCCTCTGCTGTGTGTGTGTGTGTGTGTGTGTCTGTGTGTTTGCCAGCTCGCAGAGGATGACCGAGTCTATTTAAAGGGACTGCACGGGTCTGCTGTCTAGCTATTCCTGACGGACAGCGTCATCGTATTGGGTCCAGATTCTGTCTCCTCCTTTCTCTCAGTGCTCATTGTAAGGTAAGATGTGCTGCACGTGAACAGATGCATCGACCGTTTGTGAGACATGAATATAGTAAGTGTACTCCTCTGTGGTGACAGAGTGGATGACCAGGGTTTCCTTGGTGACAAGAGGCAGAAAGCAGGCTGTGTGGTGCATATGACAGGTTTAAAGGGACAGTTCACCTAACATGCATATTTTCCTTTTACCTGTAGTGTAATTGGTCCTAAAGATGTCTCCCTACTTCACAATATATTGGAACTACTGTAGATGGCAATTGGCTTAAGGTGCTCAAAGCGGCGAAAAAACAAGACCCGGTTGGGTTATTTAAGAAAATCCACAGTTAGGAGCAGTTTTTTGTAGGAACATTTTTCTTTCTGCCAAATTACACCCATCTACCAGATCACCGAACAAAGTTCAGCAACAAGCAAATTGTTGCTACATTGAAACTGCTTTCAACAAAGTCTGTGAAGTATCATGAGTAACCGGGTCATGTTTTCTGCAAAGGGACATTGTTGTTATGTTTCTCAAATACATTTTTTTTTAAATGTTAACACCACAGACCAAGTTGGTCTGTGGTACACAGTCCAAAAATACCTCTGGAACTACTACACATTGAACAAAAACACGCTAAACTGCACTGTTTGCATTGCACATTCTTTTCTTGAACGTATCTCGCTGTGAAGCAGAGGGTTTACCCAACAGCAACTTAACCCCTTTTGCACATGACATCATTTGGCCAGGCTGGAGCAGAATTCCAGATGTCTCGAGTTAACCCTGCGCAGATGGGTTTAATATTGGAAGCACAGCGCCATTGTTGTGCAGAGTCAAATTTAAGCTGCTGCTGAGTGATGGCTCCCCCTACAACCCTGTAGCTAGTGCGTCCTGTAGTGTGCAACAGGGAGGGTGTACAACAGATGGTTTATGTGCTGTCTTTGTAATGTTGCTCAAATACCAGCAGCAGGCTCGGGGATAAAGCGTGGTAAGGCGTTTTTTCTTGTCAAAAAAATGATTGCAATGCTTGTGTCTAAAAATGTTATAACACCACACAAGCAGTGAAACAGTTTACCATGTGTTAGCATGAACCAAGCAAACAGTGACAGCAACATGCACACTTTTTATTCCACTATTCTTGCTCTTATGACAGTATTCTAAGTTGATATGCTTTGTTTAATTGCATATTCATTTTTGATACTAACAATTAGGCCTCGTTACGATTTGTAGCATTTTCCAATGAAGACATATGCAATATGGAGCGTGTTTACCGCAGTTTAATAAACACTGCTTCTTGCTTGTTTTTCTGCCATTTATGTGCAATGCAAACCATTTCCCAAAAGAATGCAAGGGCTGGGGAGATATGTTCAAAAGAAAAGCCTACATTTCTCTTAAACATTATTAAAAGAGAAAATAAATATAAAGTTATTTAAACTGGATCAACGTAGGCTGTACATCATGGGACCGCATGTAATGGTAAAGTAATATAAGTGGCTTATTTATTTAATTTCCTTAATAAGGAGATTAACAGGAATGTATTTTTTCGTTACATGAGCAAAGATATGTGACATTAACACACGTAAAAACAGAGAATCAAGATGGACAATCAAGATCCCAAGCTTTACAGCGATTGATGAAGAGGTTATTTTAGCATTAGCAGAGAAAGCTCAGAGAGCTGGTCTCTCAAAAAGCAGATTTAAGTGGAACAGGAGGACATGAGAGAATTAGTGAGGATATAACCAGACAGCTTTATGTAGTAACTGGCACACAGTGCTGTATGTTAGGATAAAGTCAGGCAGTCTTCATTGAGTGTATGTTTGCAGTGCAACATTGTATGTACATAAAGGCCTTTTATGTCCTCTTTCTACTCTAAAAATAAACCTAGGCCTAAATGCAGTTGATTCTAAAAAGCCTAAAGCGTCAGAGCAAGAATCGTCTGGCTTCTGTTGCTCTAGCAACTGGTAGGAAATGAACTCTTGAAGAGGTTGCTCAATCAGCTTATTCAGCACACAAAGAAAGGTTATCACACATCTGCAACAGTCCAACCACAAACACACCTGTATGAAACAAACCTCACCCGGAAGGAAGTTCAACAGCAGTTCTTTATAGTGTTTATAAATAGCTGTGTGGAATTCATTCATAAAGAGGTCAAAACTATCAGCAAAGCTTACTTCAGCACGCAAAGTTGATCTTTACAAGGTCATTTCAAAACAATATACTGAGCGTTAAAGGCAGCAGCATCACAAACAGCAGGACATATTTTCTGGCTATGGTCAAATACATAACTGTAATTAAAAAAAAGTTGTTTTAATCAAAGTAAGGAATCGCCTGACAACTAGCCAAGACCAATGCTGCATTCACAGGCTCTTTCAAATGTGGTGTGTTCTTTAGCTTTATGTCCTAAGGTGGAAACATCATAGTTGGTACATACAGTAGAAGATATTATATTGTTCAAATAATTTAAACCCAGGCTGCAACTAACACAATCGAAAAATCTGCTGATTATTTTCGTGATTAGCCGTTCATACAGTGTCAGTAAATATTGAAAAATGTCCCTCCCTGTTGTTCAACATCCAAGAATATGTCTTGCTTTGTCAGTCAAGAGAATGAAAACAGCACTTTCTGCCATCTTTGCATGAAAAATGTATTGATTAGCTGATTATCAAAAAAAATGGCCATAATTGTTCTGTTGTTTATCTCACTGTTGCAGTTTTTGTTTGAGTTGTTGCACCGACTTGGAGTTACGTGCACAAATGCCCCATAACGCAATGAAAAGATTTGCATCTGTTCCAAAATGATATGAATGATGATTTCATTAGCAAATGCAACATCCTTTTACAAAGTTACATGAACATCTGGCCAGTAGTTTCTTTTAGCAATCCTCCTGTCAAACAGACTAACTGAGCTGAAAGAAACACCCTCCTTGGCACGGCCTATAACAATGAAAATGTGAATAGTAGGCAGAGGAAGTTGAGGATTAGAAATTCTGAGACACAGCCAGCCAAACACCTGACCTGGTGCTGGAGTCATTGTGCTTCTGGAAGTTGGTGTACTTGAAGCAAATAACAAAAGAACCATCGATCTACTGAAGCAGCTGTTGGTGATGAACAGCGAGACCCTGCGGGTGGGAGACGTTTGCTGTCGATTAGAGACACATTCACCACCTGCTCTGTAAGAGGAATAAAGACTCAGGGATATTACTACAACTAAGACAAATACTACTACAGCCCTCCCTGTTTTTTTCTTTCTTTGTTCATAAGTGTGGTTGCTATGGCCCTTCTTCTCAGCGCCATGTTTCTTCTGTCATTGGATGGCTACCGGCTCTGGTGGTAGCAGTGATTAGAGAGAGGCTGAATGCACAATGCAGCTCTGCCTGTTGATATGACCACTGAGCAGATTCAGTGCTGCAGCAAATACAGCATGAGGAAATACAATACATTGGAGATATACTAAATGACATTACAGTCTCAATGTTAAGCACACTGTGGAAGAATCCAGAACAAAAGCAATGGCTGTGTGTCGTCATTCATTCATGTCTTTCTTTTTGCTCTCAGGTGTGAAGTGGAGGGCCTACCAAACACAGACCAAGACTGGTAACACTTGTTTCTCTTTGTCATTTGTGTGTGTGTGTATATGGCTAATTACATGCAGATGTGTACTATGTGTACCAATGAAGCACTTAGTACCACTACATTAAAGGTGGGGTAGGTAAGTTTGAGAAACCGGCTCGAGATCGCTAGAATTTGAAAATACACAACCGGAGAAAATCTGCCACTTCCTTACAGAGCCCCTCCTCCAACACACACGAACGCGCACATGACCAATGAGGGCACGAGATAAGTTTGTGCACAGATGGAAGGCTGACGGGCAGGTAGGCCATCCAATCATTTTAGCCGGGCCGGTTAAAATGATTGGTCGTGCTTTTTACAGCACTACGGCTTCCACAGATGACATTTTTTTATGGATTCTTTGTCAAAGCACTTTGATATTCATTGCTATCAGGATGTTAAGAGCATTCCATGGAATATAACAAAAAGTGTATCTCGAGCCGGTTTCTCAAACTTACCTACCCCACCTTTAAAGGAATAATTCAGATTTATGTATGAAGTAGTCTGGAGTAGATACTAGATAGCAGTCAGTAGTTTGGAGAAACAGAAAGGAGTACAGAAGCTAAGCAATGTACTGCTGAAGATTGGGGCAGCAGCACAACATAATATAGCCAGCTAAAAAAAGTCAATATGATGTAAGTGTACTCACTTACATCATATCGACACTCGAGGTATTTACCTCTTGACCTTGCCATTATCTATGCTCTCTTATTTCTATAAGGTTTTGAAAATATTTTCTCAGATTTTAAAGAATGTAAATGCTCAGATACATTTTAACATGCATACATTGCATTATAATTATAACCATTTAACCTCTAGTTTAACTACACTGCAATTTATAAAACATTTATTAAAAAATTATAATTGCAAATTCAATCAAACGACAACCTGTGGGTCCTGGGGACTTATATTGAAAACCGATCAACATCACTGGTTTTCGGAATAAACAAAGTTGCACAATAACACAAACAAACTGACCAATAGAGGCATCATTAGACCTGCATCTTCTGTCTTCTGCAAGGAAACATTATTGTTTTTGTAAAAGGATACTGGTCGGATGTCTTTAATGATAGCATTGTTAGTTCTCCGTCGGAAAGGGCTGTCGGCTGGCGAGGTAACAGAGTTATGATATTCAAAATAGCATACATTCAGACTGACATTGATTTTTTAGGTGGCTATCATACATTTGCCCCCACCAACTGTAGTGAACTGCTTAGCTTCCATGCCGGTACTCCTGCCTGTGTCTCCAAACTGGGCGGAACAATCTACTGTAGTACAGCGACTATGGATTAGTCATTAAACCCCACTTTAAAACATCCAAACTATCCTTTTAAAGCAGTTATATAAAGATATAGATCCCTGTCCACTGTAATGTGTGTGACAACAAAGCACAGCATTCACTAAGATAGTAGTAGTGATGAAGACGCACAATACTCGTGTTTTGAGCTAACAAATGCCATCAATGTCGCCATATATCCATGTTTGAGACACTGTTTTTAGTTAGTGTTCACCGATTGCTGTAATTAGATTGGACTTTACTTGATTACAGGGCTCTTCCTGTTGGCCTTTTTTCAAATAATGAATCAGTGGGTAGAGCAGTGTTCTCCTGAATAAGCATCACAGACTGAAAGATTCAACCCGTAGTGATGTCATTGCACAAGCTAAGAGCTGATTGGTTGAAATGAGCAGCACTTCCAAATTGCATTTTATAGTATATGGTCAGACGTTATTTAAATGAGGTGTTCATTTGTTTTATTCAAAAGACTGAAACCCTCCTCCTCTGTGTTGCAGGCTGCATGTATCACCCCGCAGAGCTGTACTCTGGCCGCAACACATGGGACTCCTATCCAGCTGGAGGACCTAACAGAGGACAATGGGCTCCGGTAAACAGTCGCCCCTGGAGCCACACAGAAAGGTCAGCAGCATTGTTCACAACACTCACACACTCTGCCCTGTTCAGACCTGGCATAACATGTGTCTTGAGTCATATGATCAAAAGTGGACATCTCTCAAGTTCATCAGTACACTTCTGGAAATATAATTCCTCTCCACACTTGTCTTTTGTGACCAATTGTGATCAGATAACACTTCCCTGTAATTTATGCAAATAACCACACACAGCAATACTGAAGCTTATTTTGATATTCAAATCCTAATCGACATTCAGATGCTGTGCAACTTTTCTTTTTTTTGCATGTCTATCCATTCTGTTACAACCAAGTGTTTTCTGAACAGTAACAGATAAAGATGAAACTACACTTATAATATTAGTATTGATACTATTTGTCGAGTTGATTCCAGTGGTGGCCACAGAGGATTGCCTTAAACTCCTGTGATCGAAATGTTTTATTTGCGCCAGAAAAACAATTCCAAAGAATCTGGCCATAAGCGTCACCATATCTAAATGTTTCCTCCCTGCATCTTGGGTACTTTCAAACCTTTGTTACCTTTTCATCTCAAAAGGACTCAGGTGCCCTCATTTAGCATGCAGTTGATATGGCCTCTTATGTATTTAGTGTACTGAAAAGCTTTTTCTAAGTTCTTATCCGATCATGCATTATGATCTATAGTCGTGAACACCAACCAAGACTACAGTAAGTCTCATAGAAGTCAAAGTGGACTTAGCAGATAAGGAAGCAGATACAATAGAAATGCCTTCATCATGTAACAAGTGTTTGGAGGGAAAGCTGTTTGAAGCTTTCCTTAAACAAATGTAAGCTCAGTGGAACTGATAGTGGCACAACTTGAAGCCTGAACGGCCCCAACAAGGGTCATTCCAGCAGCTGGGACTCAAGTCCGTGTTGTCTGGGATTAATCAAGATAAGCACCACTTTAAGGGACTGACTGATTAACTGAAGCTGTGATGAGCATATTCAGAAAAGCTCTTATTACAGCTGCAGCTGTGAGCATGAGCCCATCTTCAGTCAAACAAGCTGGACTCTGGGAAATGAAACTGTAACTTATTCTGCTGCAGAAGAGAGAAGCATATACTGTATGTAGATGTTTAGCTTCAACAATTGAAGGCAGCTCTAATGCATACGAGTGTCTCCGTAGCTGTCTGCTTGTAGATTTGGTAATAGTAACAATTGTGACATACTGTAAACCAGGGGTAGCCAACACGGTGCCCGCGGGCACTTAGTCGCCCGCAGGGGCAACGTGAGTCGCCCGCAGGGGCAACGTGAGTCGCCCGCGGGGCATGTTCTAAAAATAGCTCGCCAAGCAAATCCAAAATGTAAAAAATACACAAAACTAAAAAGTAAATGTAATTAAAAGAATCTACCCTATGCATAAACGAAACCTCAATCATAGCGAACTCTATCTACTTACCACAACTCTATATCTATCTAACACCCCTCCTCCCCCCACCCCCACAATGAATATCGACCAATCACGTTCTTGCTTGATTTGCCAGACCAGCGTTGCAGTCAGGAAGAAAAGCAATGTGGAGCGGCAGCTCACCGCTTCATAAGGAGTGTGCATGTCCCCCCACTTTTCGAAATCCCGTTTGTGTCCCCCCACTTTACAAATATGTTCATTCCAATGTGTGCTATTGGACAGTAAAAAAAAAAAAAAACTGTTTAAAGGTCCCATGTCATGGCCATTTCTACTGATCATAATTCCATTGTTGAGGTCTACTAAAATAGATTTATATTGTGCAATTTTCCAAAATCTCATTGGTTTCTCATACAGCATCTCTGTGTAGTATGTGTATTCACTCTCTGTCCTAAACGGCTTGTTGGAGCTCCTGCCCCCCCTCCCAGTGGCCGTCTGCGAGACAGCGAGACACAGCTAAACCATCCCGAACACACACACACACACCCGCAGCCTGGCTGGGAGTTTGTGTGTGTGCTCACACACCGACTCACAGCCTCGCCGCATCCCGCCGTCTCAGGGAGGAGAAATCGGCGGAGCTGCAGCTGAGAAAAGATTGAGTGTGTGTGTGTGAGGAAGTCCGTGGATTGGTCAATTTGGACCAATCCACGGACTTAACGTAACGGCTCCGTGGACATAACGTAACGGCTCCACGGATTGGTCCATTTTGACCAATCCACGGAGGGGTCGTCGTTACGTCACTTGGTTCCCGGAAGAAAAAAATTGAAAAAGAGAAATCTCCAACGAGGCGTTCTGGGGCAGCATAGACAGGTCTTTTCTGTGTTAGAGTTTTACTCGCTACAGGGTGTACTTTGAGGGTTTGTGACTCTGCAGACCGTTTACATGCAGAAAAAGCTACATAACACACAAGGGGACGGGTAATAACCGGAAAAGCATGACATGGGACCTTTAAAAGGGGAGTGATTAGTAAAATATGCATAAATAAAAAGAAAGAATGCTAACTAGGTAACATAAGATAAGAATAAACAAGTTTAAATGATTTGTTATTGGTTGTGATCATATTCTAAAGACGTTTGGATTATTGAAAAGTATACAGCTCTCTTTCATCTGAGTGTTGAGAGCTGTATCCATAAATTCATGTTGTGCTCAAAGTGCTCCAGATTGATGCATTTAACTTCAACATTTAAAAAAGATCTTCCCTCATGGACCCCCCTAGAGGAGGTGAGGCCCGTCCACCCCCAAATAAAGCAGGTTAAAATAATTAAATTGAATACATTTTCTTTTAGTAAACACTGCAAACGGGTCCCACAGACCCAAACTGCACACAAAGGTTAAAGGTAAGCATATAATAATGTTAAAATGTGCTAAATATATACACTGCAAAAAACGTAAAAGTAGTAAAAGTAGCCCCTGACTTGTTTTATTTTTTGAAAATAGCTCTCATCCTAAAAAAGGTTGGTGACCCCTGCTGTAAACGCTAAACTATAAACAATAAACTATATATTATTAAAAAAAAAACATTAGCAAAGAGGTATCAGTCAAAGCTAACATGCCTATACAGTAAACAAAGGTCCTAAAAACTGAGGAACTTAACTATTTAAAAACTATTTAAAGAAAAGAAAATATTCGATACTTCTCTCCCAAATGTTCAATATTTATTAACCTATTGTTGTTATATGGTTTTATTTTACCGAGGTTTTATTTATTTGGAATATAAAAACACAATCATTTCATCCCTTAAAAGCAGTTGTATAACTAAATGTTTTTTCCTTTCTGAAGTCACCAAAAGTTGCTAAACAAATTACTTTTGAAGTAACATCCCATTTTTGAATACAACTTTTACGAGACGTTACAAAGAAAGAGCGTGCATACAAAGCAAACGCTTGAAAATGGAAGCTGGCTGCTGGTAAACCTGAAAACCAGAAAACTCAGAGCTCCCAGGTTTATTATATTATTTTATGGACTGTATTATTATCTTGAGACTAAAGTCTTCTGTATGTTTTTTCCTTACCACAGATCCCAAGAAGGGCGCAATCAATCACATTATTCACCAATAAGTCGTCTTTATAGTAGGTGAGTAAATCATACCCAATATTTTACAGTTCTGATGCTTACAATACTGCACTGCACTGCATTTGCTGCTGGAACAACTTGAAGCTTATCTTGTGCTTACCACTTGAGCAGCAGCAGAATAGTACAACACCTGATCTGCATCTTGATACATGTTGCTTAGTTCAGTTTGTCTTTTTGCTCAGGGGGGAGAGAACGGTTAACAATTTCCAGGACAAGGGTATCTCTAAGGGGCACAGACAGCCTCCACATCCCTGGGATGGCAAAGAGCAGCCGTTTGAGGCCCAGACCTGGCATCACAACTCAACACACTCATTCCACAACAGAGCTGGCAACACCACCGGTTATCTAACAGGACCAGGAGAGCGCTACCCAAACTGGGACAACAATGCCAGCAACACGATGGTGAGGCCTGCAGACCCTGAACTTTCTTACAAAGCAGTTCATATTGTTATTAGAACAAGAAGTTTGACTTGATTATTTCCCTTTTCGACTGTTAGTATGGGGGGCCTCGCCTGCATCGCAACAATAGAGAACTCCAGTCCCCACCGGAGAGATGGGCCCCCTCAGACTGCCGCAGGAGCTTTCCTGACAGAATGATGAACAACAAGCCAGAACCCTGGAAACGGCCAGTCCTCCACCAGAGGCGAGACCAACTGCACCAGCACAGCCCACCTCCACAGCACCCGTTATCCCCCAGGGAAGAGTGTCCGGCCAAGAGGAGAAGGGACTCTGGCCCTGATCAGGTAAAATGTGTTGGCTTAGCACACCACATGGACTGTTTATCTGTACACAGGCTTTCATTTCTGTGCAATAGCACCACCCATTGGTACAATTTGGTCAAGAAGACTGAATATGTATGCTTCTCTGTCTAGTCATCTCATCCTGCATCAAGGCATGTACCTTTAATTGGTCATGCCCCTTCGCCACCTCGCCACCACCGCTGCAACCAGGACGACTGGAAGCCTCTTCATGACAGGACGGGTCATTGCCATCACTCTGACCACAGGACCTCAACCCAGCAACAGGTGAGCTTGTATAATAAATAAAGTACTATAAAAAAACTAGGATGGCACTCGGAAAGCACAGACCTCGGCCAAGGCCAATGGTGCATTCATATGTTATTTGGATGGAAGGAACATTAACCCTAACCCATATCATGAGTTGGGAACTAGTTTTTCCTACTTGAATCCATAAGCTACATGTCTTTAGAGAGTTTACAAAATGTTAATAGCTGTTTCTGAGTTGTTGTTTGGGCTAAAGTACCCAGTCAGAAATTCATTTATATTATTTCACCACCACATGAATGTGTGCCCTGACTTTCAATATAGATAAAAAAACAGCAATTGATTAGAAGCTGCTCCAAAATGTTACATGTACTTCATTAGCCTATGCTGCACCATTCCACCACGTTTCATGAGAAATCCCTATTGATAGACAGATAAACAGAGCCCAAGATATAACCTCCTTTCCAAAAGAAATCAAACTGAACTTATTTATTTCTCATTTTGGTTCTTAAATGCGCAGGAAACCTCTAAAGCACGAGTCGGAGGGCATGGCTTCAGTAACAGTCACCAGGTAGCTCTGACCCAGAGTTGTGGCGGCAGCAGCAGAACACCTCATCATGGAAGCAGGGGAAAGGTCGACCGGAAAATGTCCCCGTCACCAGCAGACCACCCCCGTGTGCCTTACAGCCATCAAAACCATCATTACCACTATCAACAACGGCACACAAGCCACCCCAGGGCCCTACAGCACAACCCGCAGCTACACCCTCCTGAGGAAAAAGACTCACAGAGACATCACCACAAACAAAGCACAGTAAGTAATCAACATTTAAATCACATGAACGCACAAACGTCTACATCCAAATAGATATTCGCTCAATATACAAATAATTGAAGATAGTACATTTGACAAAATACACATCATTTTTCTTTAAAAGCTGCCATTTGCCATAAATTGCAATAAATGTTTTTTTTTAATGTAAGTATAACAGTGCATATATGATTCTATGTATTTGATTGTCCCTGAACACATGTGTAACAGATGTAATCCTAACCCTGCAGGAACCTCAGCGCTTTCATCAAAGGGGCAATTCATGGGATCCAGCCCAATTCAAGGGTTCTGGTGCAGACTCTCCTTCCTATTCGTCCCTCATCTGCAGCCCTGGAGATGGAGGTTCTACTGCCAGCAGTCCACGTGCTCCTCCAAGTCCCTCTTCATACACAGTGGGCAGTAGCAGAAAAGATCCATCACTCCTTTATCAGTGTAGCCCTGAACTCAGTGGACAGCAGAAACTCCAAGGAAGCCCCAATCACACCCCGAGACCTAGCCAGACATCCTCCACGTCCCACAACTCTCAAGATGGTCCAAAAGCCCGGTTGTCAGACGTCAAATATCGAAAGACTTCGCAGCCCCTCTGTTCACGACAGTCCTCTCACAGCAGGTCAAGAGCAAACAAGACTGAGAAGGAGTCTGAAGAACACAAAAAAACGGAGAAGCCGGTGAAAAAGGATAGAAAGGGTGAAGAGAGAAAGAGGCATAAGAAAAAAGAGGAAAAGAGATTGTCTGAGAAGAAAAGGAGGAGGGATAAAATATCAAAGAGGGAAAGAAAGTTCAAAACTGGAGGCATGGAAAAGGAAATGTTGACTTCCATCTCTACTCCCCACTCTTCAGGAGAAGCCCAAATGGAGACGACAACTCAGTCCCTGGACAATCAAAGCCAGGCGCCAGGCAGACACAAGCACAGAGAGAGGAGTGGTCGTGCAGAGAGGACACTCAAACCATCCAAAAAGAACCCTCCTCCCTCTTCACCACAGCCATCCTCAAAATCTGCTCATATTAAAATGCCCAAGAAAAACAATAGTGCCCCAAAACTCAAGGATAAACTTAAAAAGTCACATCATAGGATTCCCATAAACCCCAAACTGTCCGGCAAGAAGCCCACCATCGTTTCAAAGCGCAGCCCTAAAGCAAAGACCAATGACACGCTCCCTTCACTTTTATTGAAAGCCTTAGCGCCTCTCACTTCAGCCTGTTCTGTCACCTTGGAGGCACCTGTCCATGGCAAAGAAGGTGGCCAGGGAGGGGCTCTCAATGCTCCAGACCTACAGCCTGTGGGAAACCTAAGGGAAACAGAAGACAACCTTGCAAATACACCTCCTGTTCTCAGCTGGCAGGGCTCACCGGTGTCGATTCTGGGAGAAGACGAAGAAGAGCTGGAGAAGGGAGTGATGAGTAGACCTGTCCTCCAGCCCAGTCCCACCCGGTGCTTCTCTCCTCTTTCTGAAGACAGTGAGAGCTCCACCGATATAACAGAGGAGCCTTGCGAAGACCAACAGGCTGATTATTCCCATGATGGCGTGCCTGGACTCTGGGATCCACCCTGTGCAGAGGTACCAGTTGCTGAGGAGGAAAAGGAAGACAGCAGTGGGGAAACTCCTGACTCTCCTTACGGTGAGCTTTGCCACCATAAAACTGGTCTGGACGATGTCTTCAAGAGCCTTGCGACTTTACTCGGAGGCCAGAGGGTCACATGTCGAGGCGGCCCATTCGGGGGGCCTCCCGCCTGCACCACCAAAGGAGTGAAGTATTCCTCTTCTCTTGAACTGGGGCCGGATATTCATGAGCATCAGGACTTCTGTATATCAGACACAGCGTCCTCCGAACCTGGTGATCAGTCACCAACTCTCTTCACCTCAGACATGCTTTTGAAATCCCACAGTCCGAGGGAGCCTGTGGCAGAATCCCTGGCTCAGGGTAAGCAGAAAGAAATTGAAAAGGACATGGAAGAGAAGCAAGGTAGTGAAGAAATGGAGATGCTTGCCAACGAAACAGAGACATCTCTTTTGGACGGGTCGCTGAGTGCAGAGCTGAGTCTGACCACAACGCACACAGCCTCCATCACCAGCTGCATTACTGTCTCCACCAAGGATGAGAGGGGACACAGCAAGGAGACGGAGCGCATTGGTGGGAACAGGAAGAGAAAACTTAAGGCCATGGATGGAGAAAGAGAAGGAGAGATACAAATCAAGATAAAGACGGAAGAAAGCAGCATCATGTGTCCTAAAAACAAATCAAACGAAATAAGGGATTTGACGAAAAGGGATGTTTCCTCCTCGGTGCTCGTCATTTCCAGAAAGTCAGCCAAACTCCTCAAAGAGAGTATGAAGGACCAGATTTCGAAGGAAAATCAAACCACACACGGCATTAATAAAGACAAGGTAGACAAGGGGAAGGAAGAGGCACAGATAATAATGGCGAAGAAGGACGAGTTAGAAAATAAGAAATCCTCAGCAGCTGGAAACGCAAACACCAAGACATCCAAATCATGTGTATCTACACCCGGAAGCACGCCTTCAATCTCTGCAACTCCATGTGACCCGCTGAGACTGAAAGCATTGTCTATGGGCTTCTCAAAGGAGTTGAAGATCCTTTTAACAAAAGTAGATGCAGGAAGAAAAACATTCGACGTATCAGAGTTTGAACCAAGAATCCCTCTTTCCAAGATTAGCATCGAAAACACTGGTGCTGAACTAGTAAGAGCTTGCAAGTGAGTGCTAATACGAAGATGCTTCTATTCACCTTTATCAATAGAAACAGGTTGTCTTGTAAACTCCTGATGGTTTTTGTCATCTTGTTTTCCAGGGGGGAGAAGGTTAAGGGGAAATTCAAGGAGTCCTTTCTGCTTCCCGCCTTCAATGTTAAACCTAACATTGACACCGAGACCAAAATCCCTCAAGAAAAGCTGAACCCTCCTACACCAAGTATTTATGTGAGTTTAGCATAGTCAAAAAGATGCAGCCCGGCAAGTATTGAGTCCTAACAACATGTTTTTCACCATGCTAGAGGCATGGTTTTACAGATGGAAATCTCAGCCTGTCCATTGTCCTGTCTGTCTTGCGAAACTGAAATATCTCCAAATCTATCCGACTGATCGGCTAAAAATATTGAACAGACTTCAAAGTTCCCCTTGTGACGAATCCATTAATTTATCATCTACCGTTAACATTTTAATCAGCTCAACACTTTGACTACATACTCCCGAAAATATTCCTATCAGCCGCCACTTAACTTAGTGCTAAATAGCAAATGTTAGCATACTGAACATAGCGATCAGAATGCTAGCAATGTCTTTATGAGCACGTTAGCATGCTGTAGCTAGCATTTAGCTCCCAGCCTGGCCTAAATACAGCCTCAAAAGCCCCAGCATGGCTGCAGTAAATACGTAACTCGTAACACCGTAAATTTGAGTTACTTGAAATCAATTGAACTGTCTTGAATTGTTTTCTCGATAGCAGCAGAGAGAGCTGCCTTATCATACCTTGTTTCAGGAATTCTACAACTTACCAACGTACTGTCAGTATTTTTCAATTCCTTCTAAGACAAATTAATGTATTGCTTCACTGCGTTCAAATGCTTTATTTTTAATTGTACCTTTTTTCCACAGTTGGAGAGCAAGCGGGACGCCTTCTCTCCAGTTCTGCTTCAGTTCTGCACTGATCCCAAAAATGCAGTAACTGTCATCAGAGGACTTGCTGGCTCCCTCCGCCTTAGTAAGTGTATACACCACACTCCTCTCAGCTACTTTACCATACTCTAGTTATTCTTGAAGCTCAGCAGCATCCCCCATAAACTAGTTTTGGGAGATTTCTAACACATTAAAACAAATCTATTGTTCATTGTTTTGTATAAAAGGGAAAGGGAAATGTAATTCAACTATAGCAATATTGTTTTCTACATGTGTATTAGGGATATTACAGTATGTGTATCTTGTTCCGTATGCATGGTCCAGTTTTACCCAAAACGTTTTTACAGCGCCTGCACAACATTTCTCAGCTAAAGTCGGGTATGTCTGTGGAAACACTACAAACATTTATCTTACAATGGCATTACAAAAATGTGTTAAGTAGTGAAGCCAAACTAAAACAGACTGATTGGGAGTACTTTTTGCTCAGAAAGTAATGGCATATAATGAAAAAATGAAATGTCAAATGATGTTTTCCCTTGCATTTGTATATTGTCCTTGATTAGACAGGCAAGTATGTGAAAAGAAAAAATGATTTGTATTATTGCATTTGAATTCAACATCACTTATAACATGCAGTACCTAGGTGGAAAGTGATTGTGCTATTTTCAAACAACATTTTTCAAATGTTTATATTATCCATAGTAGAGAAGGAGACATTGATTATTTAGATATAAATGAACCTTTTATGAACCATGGTTTATTTCAGATGTAGTAGACATTTTAAACATTACACTTTGAGTCATTTCTATAAAAGGCTTTCTCCACACTGTAAGGATGCTGCATCGTTCACAGGAGTGGTACAACAATGTGCAAATACAGCACTGAATCCTCACATTTTATATTGAGTCTTTATGATCCATATTTGAATGCAGACCGTGAATGCTCAACCATGACATGACGGCTTGCTCACTGCTAGCCTTTTATGTGATATAGGAATTTTATTTTGAATGTTTTTGCATATTTCAATGTGTGTGTTTTACAACCATCAAGTGTAGATAGACATACCTTGTTTCTTATTCAACACACTTTTTCTCTAAAGTCAGACTATGTTGTGTAAAACATGTTAAGCTGAAAGTCTGAAAATATGTAAATGAACATAAATGGGATAAAAAAATAATAATTTGTGTTTAAACATCCCATGATAATGATGTCTTTCTCGTTTCCTTATGCAAGACCTGGGTCTGTTCTCCACCAAATCCCTGGTGGAGGCCAATGCGGAGCATGCAGTGGAGGTGAGGACCCAGGTTCAGCAGCCTGCCGATGAGAACTGGGATCACAATGGATCGGCGCAGTCGTGGCCCTGTGAGAGCAGCCGCTCACACACCACCATCGCCAAATACGCCCAATACCAGGCCTCCAGCTTCCAGGAAAGCCTACAGGTAGACATTTCCCCTCATGGCAACACATGTGCACACATACATGTAGATTAATATGCAATGTTTAGTGAATATAGATATTATAACATGCATTATTAATTGACTTTCAGCAATATATTTGTTCTTAAAGGCATTGTGGGGATGTTTTAATCACCTGTGTATCTTTTCATTATTAAAATGTTCTTTCCATAATCCTGCTGATTTTAAGCAATGGACATAGAAAGTAAAGGACGTACCCTCTTCTCATAGTTCATTGTTGTTAGATAATGATGTAGTCAACATAATCTTTGTTAATGACTAAGCTAGTAAATGATCATCTATTTTAGCTGATGGCCAACATGTCAGCTAAGCTCATGTAGATGTGTTATAGGATGAGAATGAGAGCGAGAATGAAGATGACGGAGAGCAGTCCGAGTCTTCAGAAACATCCGCCGCCACAAAAGCAGCTCTGACATTTGCCACGGTTAAAGTCAGTCCTGCCTCCACTACAACTAAAGCCAACTCTGCTTCCATCTCCGCTTCCATCTCCGCTTCCATCTCCAGCCCAGAGGAACATGCCAACAGCACACCCAGGTTGGAGCAAAACTCCCTTCTGTCTGTGCAAATAATTCAATATATTACTGTTAACAAAACTCAACCAGGACTTTGTTTTTTCCCCCAGCTCTGAGCAGAAATCAGCCGGAAAGATAATTAAATTTGGGACCAATATTGATCTCTCTGACCCTAAAAGGTGAGATTGTGTTGTAAAAATCTGCCTGCTTAAACTGAGCTCGATGAGGCAGCTTGTCGTTGACAGTAGTTTTCATGTTTGTTATAGGTGGAAACCCCAGCTGCAGGAGCTGCTGAAGCTGCCTGCTTTCATGCGGGTGGAATCCAGCAACAACATGCTCAGTCACGTCGGCAGCACCATCCTGGGCATGAACACTGTCCAGCTCTACATGAAGGTGCCAGGCAGCCGCACTCCAGGTCAGTGTGTGTGACTGACAAGTAAACCGCTGTATTTACGAATGAAGGAATAGTACGTAACATTCACTTAGTTATAATTTATCTTTTTCATATTCATTATCCTATAACTATGTTGAGATATTGGCAGATATAATACATACAGCTTACTTTAAGTCACTAAAAGTGGTCATTGTTTGCTGAAAGTAAACTGAAAAAAATATGAATACATCTGGAATATCAGATTGACCAGCAATTGTGAATGACTATGACCTAAAAGGCAATATAAAATGCTTTTAAATGTCTTATTATTGTGTTATAAAGCATTGCAATTATAACTAATAAGTGCCTATAACTATGAAGATACCGTGCCATAAGTATTTTTATAATGCATTATAAAAACGGGCGTCACAGAACGTATCCAAAAGTTTTTAAGTGGATTAAGTGACTGTTTTGTGCTTCTTCTCAGGTCATCAAGAGAACAACAACTTCTGCTCAGTCAACATCAACATCGGTCCTGGTGACTGTGAGTGGTTCGCCGTCCATGAGCACTACTGGGACGCTATCAACAAATTCTGTGAGAAGTAAGTGGAGAGGCTGTTTAACAACACATGTAGCATTAGCTACAGTGTCTGTGCCTGCTTAAACATATATTTCATTTGTATGTTGAATTGTAAGGGACAAGTACAGATAAAAACAATGACAGTTGCAGAAGAGTTGTCCAATGCACTGTACAGCTGTACATAGTTAAAGCTCATTTCAACATCAGTTCTTTGATGGGCATAGATAGTACATAAACATCTGCTTTGTGTATTCAGGTAGGGATTTCCAGAGAGTTGAGCCTTTGATTGAATATGCATGTTGTGCAAAGGAACAGAGTCTTATTGTACTATTTCTTTCTGTATTGTGAAGTCTAAGTATGCATTGTTTTTTTTCCCCTCAGGCATAAAGTAGACTACCTTACAGGGTCCTGGTGGCCGGTCCTGGAAGACCTCTACAGCGCCAACATCCCTGTGTACCGCTTCATCCAGAGGCCGGGGGACCTGGTGTGGATTAATGCAGGGACGGTGCACTGGGTCCAGGCAGTGGGCTGGTGCAACAACATCGCCTGGAATGTCGGACCACTCAACTGTACGTTACCATGAGAACCCAAAACACTATGGAAAAACAGAAGCATAAAAGTTGACAGGTGTTGTTCTTAATGTCAGATTACAACCTAAATATACTGTTTAATACGCTCACCCCTGTTTTCTCTCCCAGCCTACCAATACCAGCTGGCCCTGGAGCGCTACGAGTGGAACGAGGTGAAGAAAGTGAAGTCCATCGTTCCCATGATCCACGTGTCCTGGAATGTGGCTCGCACTATCAAGATCTCTGACCGGGATACCTTCAAGATGGTCAAGTAAGATTTCTCTTTTTTATTGTTTTATTTGTAAATATTATTTGTTATATGTTAAAAATAATCCTCTGCCCAAGGCTGTCCCATGGTACGTACATATTATCTAGTTGTCTGCCCTTCATCTGTTCTATTCTCACACATACAATATCTCAGGAATTTACTTGGGCTGTTTTTTTTGTATCTTTTATTATGTATTGCAGCCGTTCTTACAAAGTATGTACTGTTGCAAACATTATGATTTCAATTGTGACTGGACGAAAGCCTTTATTGGCCATAAATCAAGAAGTGATATGCTAATTATGAGACCGTTTCACACAAATGTATTTTAGGATAACATGGTGGCAATAAGGGACACACCAAATGAGATAGAAAACAATCTAAATAAATACATGAAATACAATACGATGAAAAAGATTATATAAATATACTGTATATTAGTCAAGAAATAATTTGAGATAATGAATTAAATGTCATGACAATTTCTTTTTAAAACATTCTCAGATTACTGAGCTCTTGATAACATCTACTTTGGCATTCCATATCTGCATACCATCAAATCCGAGAGCCTGCGTGTGTTTACATTCCCCACTATCCGCTCCTCCATCTCCCTCAGACACTGCCTGATGCAGTCCATCAAGCACATCCAGATGTTGAGAGAACAGCTGCTGGCTGCAGGGAAGAAGATCAGTTACCAGAGCCGAGTGAAGGACGAGCCCGCCTACTACTGCAACGACTGTGACGTGAGTCTCCCGTCAGGCCATGCAGGACGTTTAGCATCGGTTTTCATACAATTAACCTTGAGTCCCTAATGTGTGTGTGTGTGTGTGTGTGTGTGTGTGTGTGTGTGTGTGTGTGTGTGTGTGTGTGTGTGTGTGTGTGTGTGTGTGTGTGTGTGTGTGTGTGTGTGTGTGTGTGTGTGTGTGTGTGTGTGTGTGTGTGTGTGTGTGTGTGTGTGTGTGTGTGTGTGTGTGTGTGTGTGTGTGTTGTGTGTGTGTGTGTGTGTGTGTGTGTGTGTGTGTGTGTGTGTGTGTGTGTTGTGTGTGTGTGTGTGTGTGTGTGTGTGTGTGTGTGTGTGTGTGTGTGTGTGTGTGTGTGTGTGTGTGTGTGTGTGTGTGTGTGTGTGTGTGTGTGTGTGTGTGTGTGTGTGTGTGTGTGTGTGTGTGTGTGTGTGTGTGTGTGTGTGTGTGTGTGTGTGCAGCTGGAGGTGTACGACCTGCTGCTGGTGACCAGTGAGAACAGCACTAAGAAGAGCTACGTGGTGCACTGTGAGGACTGTGCCCGAGCCAAGAGCCCGTCGCTGGGGGGGGTCGTGGTGCTGGAGCAGTATCGAATAGAGGAACTGACGAAAATCTATGACTCCTTCACACTGGTAGGTCTCATTATCGATCAATAACCGTAATGCTTTTTTCAGAAAGGTTTTAAGGATAGACAAGGTACAAAAAGGGCTTCATACAGTATTGCTTCGTACATATTAAATGTCTAGTTTCAATGCATCCCTTAAGAACTCTGCAGAGATCTAAACTGTGGGTTTATAAAGGGATACTGTTACAGGGGACTAAATGAAATGGAAAGTTATCTTCACTAAAGTATATCATTGTTATAATACATGTGATAATGTAAGGACATAACTCACATAATAACACATTCCTGTAGTCATTTTTAGATATTGTAAAAAAGGAAATTGTTACATTTTATACCTTTTTTTTTAATACTGGTGGCTTTCACAAGGTACAAAATGTTGACAATTCACTGCGGATTTGTTTTTATACAAACATCAAAGAATACCTCACGAAAAGTACTGATGAAAAGTTAAGGTATGTTTTTGCATATAAGATATTTGTAGGGGCCAGAAAGAATAGTTTTCTATGTAATAAGTGCTCTCTCATGACTGGAACACACGCACACAGCTTTTCTAGTTGCCAGCTGAGCTCTGTCTCCCCCTCTTGTCTCCCCCCCTTTGTTCTCCCCCTTCAGGCTCCATCACCTGTTTCAAAGTGAGGACTCCTCCCTGGCGTCTTTCAGCCATAAACCAAAACTCTAATGGCAGCACAAATATTGTCTTCAAGGCAATCTATTCCTTCAAACACTCTCTGAATCAGCCAATCACGTTTACTCAGTATTGTTTACATCACACACTAAGGTATGGATACTCAGCCAATCCAACTATAGCTCACTGTCTTCCCCATACCAGCTGCTGATTGGACGTGTGTTTTGAAATAGAATGACTAGACTGGTACTTCCCATGAAAAGCATTTCAGATATGTTAAAAAAACAAAACAATATGTGAGCACTGCTAGCATTGAAAATCAGGTTATATGTTTATAACGGACACTGCTGTGATTCAAAAGCATCTAGTAGCCGGTTCTTTGTATAAATTCAGGTACTTTTATGCAAATTCAGTAGAACTTTTTTTACACCACTCTAGTTATTCTATGTGTCCATGAATTTGCTGTGATTCTGTCGTACCAGCAGGGGAATCGCTTCACAGGAGAAGTAGCTGATTGTCACATCGTTTTGGTTCCTGTTTTTGTTTGCTATTCGGGTAAACTCCGACATTTCTAATTCCTGTCTGTATACTCTTTGAGGTGCTACTCCAATCTAATTTATTCCCGTTAGATACTTAAACAAGTTTTACCAGCCTATAAGTACACCACATTGGCCTTGAAAACTGTATTTAGAGTTAATTAGAGGTTTAAACACACAAATAAGGATTTATGTAGGTAAAAAAAAGAACTTGTATTGGTTTCTCTTAGATACGGGTTAAAAGACGACCAAAACGGTTTTACTGTAGTTGGAAATCAAGTTTGTAAATGATAAAATAGTTTTTTGTTTTGTATCCCTCTAAATAGTTGGGTGGTTTTCTACGATACACCCGGAAAACAGACATAGTGTTGTTTTTATTTTTGGAATGGGAAAACTATCCCAGTTTTATACCTCTTTTGTTGCTTTGTTCTCATTTCTAGACAGAAAAAACAAATAATTGTAAATTCTGAATGAATTTATTGGATACACAGTGGTGTGCATAGACGGGGTTCAGAGCCGAAAGGGAGGGTCAGCATTGATGTGTATGTCGATGAAGTGCCAGTTTCCGTCTGGGGAAGTAATCTGTCCAAAGAGACACACAATCATTTTGTTACAATGTGATGAAGCCAAAAAGACGAGCGGACTGAATGACACCTCGTTGTTTTCATTTTGCCCCAAACATCCGTCCTGTTCAGTGCACTGCCAGCTTAATATACTGTATTTACAGTTTGACATGTTATAGAGCACATGAATTGAAACATGACAAGAAAGGCTCAGTCGTTTTTTTCCCTCAACTTCAAACAGTACTTCAAAAATAAAGGGTATCATTTTGTTGAGGCTAGGCTAAACTGCAGACACCCTGAAAAGGGGGGGGGGGGGGGAGTATTTTTATAATACAAATGTTGGCCACAAGAGGCAGAAGTGCACCAATACACCATGTTCTTAAAAGGACTCAAAGCATTCATGTGTCATGCCACATGAGTTTAAATATCTCCATGCACTCTAAAACAAACTATATATATTTTTAACAATATATGTAAATTATATATTGTATATATTTCTTTGAAGAAAGACCAAAATGTTTAAGCCGTATTTAGTGCATGGGGTAGTGGTGCACTTCAGCCTCTTGTGGCCAAAATGAGTATTACAACAACAAATACCTGTTTCACAGATTTAAAAAAGACTTTGACATTCTTGAAATTCAAGTTTGTACAATAAACACAGGAGAAAAAACAATGTATATCAGACATCGGTAATGTGTCACCAGAACTATTTTTTCATCACATGGCTTCCATAATTATCTTTAGCTTCATACATCAAATGTAATTATTACCTTTGCTGCCCTGTATTCAAATGCAATCATTTGATCACCTGGGCAAGGCCTATCTTTTCCAGTTCTAGTATTCCTGCATTTTAATGAATTCCTAACAAATGACGACTTTCACATTTGAGCCCTTCCCTCATTAGTCTGTGCACACCATCTACTGTACATAATGTATCTGTTTGCAGGTTCTCAATATGACTTATGTATGTAGTTTTGTTCTCAATCAAATATTGAAATTGTTTGTGGTCGAATCTCTCCACATCAGACTTTGTGTTATGTTGTTGCTGTATTATAAAATATCCTTTTTCACTCCAGTTAAATTACTGCAATGGGAATTTCATCCCACTTTTATACCTCTTTTTGTTGTCAGTTTCAGTTTTTGGGATTACAGAGAAAATGGAAAATTGTAAATTGTGACATTATTTATACTGTACATGGTTGTTTTCTTATATATTTATTGCATATCAAAAGGCACTTCACTTGATAAGGGGCTACAAGGTATTTTAAAATTGTAGTATGGGTGTATTGTGTGGATAGGGGAAGTGCAATCAGGGGGCTGTTTAATTTTCATGGTGCTAGACCCCTCCTTGCCCCCCTCATTAAACAGCATATAACAATATACAGTATGAACTTTATCAGTGATAAAACTGGTGCTTAGATCCATTTCAACACAGTTTAGTGCTAACAGAAATGGAAAGATGTCTTTGTACTGTATCAGATTCATTCAAGATCTTTTTAAATGTTTTTTTCCATTGTATGAAATTCATAATCTTGTGAGGCATTAGTGGTTTTATGATGCACATTAGCAGTAGTTGTAATTCTTGACACCTTTTGCAGAGACTTTTAGGGATGTGACTTTTAATGACGTCGAGGTTTTGTTTTGTGTCTTGTCCTCATTAGTATTATTTGAAGGATGGTATAATGCTCTTTTTTCCTGTTTGATTTATGCTGCACTTATTGTTTAAAAAAAGAACTCGCATAGAAGAAAACCTGAGCCAGACCTGTCTTAAATCCCTCTGTGAGTTTTCTGTGACATATTGTATTGTTGTTCAAGAAAATAAAATGTTTTGATAAATTATTCAAAAATGAGTCTTTCCCTTTGGTTTCCGCATTGCAGTATGAACCGGTCATTATCACTATTCTACAGAGGTAGACAGGCTTCTGGTTTTATTGTCTGGTCCATGTTAGCTTTTAGCCCTGCTCGCAGCGTGGCTTTAGGGATGACCGGGTCAGAGAGTTCATCCCTTTGGTCTAGCCTGAAACATCTTCTGAGATTTAGCACAGATATGCATGGTGCCCTAAGAATCCTAAAGGCTTTGCTGGTTCTCTGATCTTTCCTCCAGCACCACCTCCATATGAACGTTTTACTGGTTCTGTGAAAGATCTCTTGATTAGCAAAAGACAGATATTGGTGTTTCCAATTGGAGGATTTCTAATGACTTTTGTGACCCCCTAGCCTATCTTCAAATGCCAAACTATTTCTCTTTATTTACAATACAAAATCTTCAATTTAAGTCCAAATAGTAACTGAATGTTAAATAACCATATTTTGCAAAAATACATTTGTATTTCTGCAAAATATGGGATCAAATTGTTGTATGTATAGTAAAAAAACTGCAGATACGCCTCATTAGCATCAGCATGTTGGCTATTAGCTGATATCATAGTTGTAGGCTCTTAGTCTCGTTTAATGTTATATGCATTACCACTTTCACATGCTAATACACTCTCATTTGGGTTACTACCACAATGGAAATAATCAACAACAATACAGGATTGGGTGTTTTTAGCATTGTATATAACCGTATAATTTTGATGTAACTATTGTAGGCTATATACTTGTATAGCAGTGGGCTGCTGAGTGAGTCAGAGTGAGCAGACTCAAAGGCTCATGCTCTCTCCCACAGTTCAAACAGCTCATGTTTCAGCTGTCTCCCACTCTGCAGCTGGCCACTGGGTGGTTCCACTGGACCAGCTCCTCAAGGCTGTCTTCAAAGGGTATGTTGAGAGAGAGGAGAGAACAAAACTCGTTTATTTTCCCTCCGACACTTTCCTGACACCATCTTGACAGCTGCAGCTGCTCCAAATAGTTGAGAAGTAGTCATCTAAAAGTAACAGAAAGTCATGAAATAATAATAATAATATCAAACTAAATGATCGGATTGTTTTTATGTTTAGACTGTGAGGTAGTGGTGGAAGAGGTACTGAGTCAAAGTAAAACCATTTAATAAAATAAGTGAACCCCTCAGTGTAGGAATACTCAAATAGTAGTCGTCTAAGTAAAAGTACAAAGTGTTACCATTGAAATATTCTTAAAGTACAAAAACTAAAATGCGTCTTTATGCGGAATGGCCCATTTCAGAATAATGTATACATTTTTGGATTATAATTATTGATGGATCACTTTGTTTATCTTTTAAATCTTACAGCTGGTTATGGGGTAGCTGATTTGTTTTACTGTTTGTAGACTGCTTTGTAAAACTATTTTCTTACTTACAACAATTCATCTTACAGTATTTTTTTACATTATATTATTAATTTAATAATTCAAAGTTAGTAAGTGAGTAAAAGTAAATGATCAAATAAAAGTCATGGAGTAAAAAAAGGTCAATAATTCCCTTTGAGAAGCAGTGGAGTAAAAATAATAACATGAAAATACTCTTACTTTATATTTAAAAAACTTTAGTACAGTGCTTAGTAACTATACTCCACAATTGTAGGTAATAATGTGACCTAAATGATCTGACCAAAAAAGAGACACACCTTCATACTGAACCTAATACTGAAACATATACTGTCAATAATAAAAATCCCGGTATAAAGTAATACAGTTGACGAACAATAAAACATTTTTGGAACAGCAAATAGCAACATTCTTCAGGGCGGTACTTATCGTCTTGTCTCGTTTCCTTTGCTATGTGTAAACCTGAGATGTTTCTTTCTGGTTGCTATTTTTGCCACCAGTCTGGAGGGTTAGAGGACAGGAGACTGCCAAACTGCAGATGCAGGGCCATCTCGTCAGGAACGTGGACACAGCAGCGGATATCCCGCTTCCAAGGACAGGAAGACTGCTCTTCCTCTACCAACCCCCTCAGACATTGACATACGCTTTTAAACAACACACTCTGTGGCATTGTTAATGACATAACCACCCTTTGCTCCTGCATTTTTTTTTTAGCCGACACACTAATGCCATAGTCTCTTTGATCATTTGTTTCTTGTAACGACTGTAAAAATACACTTACCATCTCCAGGGAATATATATCTACCCCTGTAAACAAATAGTGAATACACTGTGGGATGAAAAAATGAGTCTTCATATCAAAATACAAATTCCACTCTTTGAACTGAGCCCCTCACTTTCTTATCAGTCAGTCCCCTGATAGCTTCTTTCCCCCACCAATTTAGAGAGTGCCCCCACCCCCATTCTCATTTCCTTATGTTTTCTGAAAGCCGAGCTGTTTTTCATCAAAAGGTCAAGGGTCAATACTCTCCAGCAGCCTGGCCTGGCTTTCCCTAAACCTTCTGAATTACAGGTTTTGTGATTCTTGGAGTATTTGAGAAGTCCAATTGTTCACACCCTTTGTCAGTACAGTATAGTATGACTGTAGCATGGCCTCAGAGATGGATTACTGAACAGGTCTACCCCCCCAGCCTTCCCCTACAAAATGTCACTTAAAGACACATCCACCGACGAGTAAAGAAACTCAATTGACCCAAAAGAAACATAAAACTACTTCATAGAGATGCTAAAAAACTGCAAAAGGACACAAAGAGACTCACTGAATGTAAAAAGCAAGACATAACAACTCCAAAAGAGACGCAAAAAGAATACAAAAAGGCGCAAAACAACAGAAGACAAAAATAATTACAATGGGACAAAATAACTACGAAGAAATACAAAATGACTTAAAAGAGACAGAAAATGAACAAAAAACTACACAAAACAATATAAACACAAAGAGAAGCAAAGACACGACAAAAAGTGGCCAAACAACTAAAGATGCAAAATAAGCTAGAAAATACCAAAACAATTACAAAAGACCCTGAAACTACAAAGACACACATAAGGGACAGAGAGACATAAGACCACAGAGAGATTTATAAGAGACACAAAACAAAGAACAAAAAAGTATGTGTGTTTCTCCATTTCTGTGCCCAGTCACCCATTGTCTTATAATGTGCCCATGCTGACTGTTCCTTATACCTAATGGAACAGTCAGTCTTAAAGCAACTCATTGAGTTTACTGGCACATGAATATGCAATATAAATCCAGCTCTTCTTGTTTAGAATTTCAAAAACCACCTTATCAGTTTTTTGACAGTAGAGTAGAGAAAGTGAGTAAGGGTGCAAAGTGTTGGGGATTGGGCAGCATACCCTGACTACTCTAATCTCTCCAAATAAACACTCTTCCTCCCTCCCCCTGGTTCCAGGGGTTATCACAGAGCCCCTCCACTGCTCCCCTGCCCAGACCCCTTCAGCAGCCACTAACACAGCACAGCCTGTTCTCTGTGCATCAGAGGCAACACAGGATACACGCTTACACACACACACGCACACACTCATAAACACTCACGCACTCAATCATATCTCAAACTGGAGTCGGAGTGAGGAAACAGAATGTCAGGGAAGGAAGCGCTGAAGCCAGTGGGAAAGCAGAATTTTCCTCAAGTCTTCAGAGCTCTTTTCTGACCCAGTCAACAGGAGGTCTCAGGAAGACATCTGGGTTCACAAGAGCGGGCAAATACCTCAGGGTGGTTTTTATGAAATATTCCAGAACACAAAAAGGATTGTAGATTTAGTTGCTTGGATACCACTCTCAAGACCTGGATTTTTGAAAAAGAGAAGCCATACATCAGGAGGAAATTCTTTAAATTCTCTTTGTCTATTAGCATTAAACGCTCTCCAGGTTCTTCAGAGTCCCATCATCCACATCACCAGATCTAACGCACAGTGAGTACAACAAGCTCCATCTTAATTGTATTACAACCAAGTAAAGGAAACTTTATCCTGACCCTAATGAAAAGGCCTTATTTGTTCTATAATGAATGCAGTACAACATCCTATTGAAACAACTGGCATATGTGTCTTCACTTAAGTTGAGATTGTTGAGAGTTAGTTTGGATTTCCTTAAATTGATCTGGAAATAAGAAGGCTGCTTTAATGATGTCATCAAAAGGCTAGTGTTTGAGCTGATCCATGGTTAAGGGAAGACGTTGTGACATACAGTCACAAGCAGAATGTATACAAGTATTTTAAACAATATTAAAGTATTTTAAAAACTGAAGTTGAAAGAAGGTTTTCCTGAGATGTTGTACTAAGGAAGCATCACAAACAAGTAATCAGATGATAGAAGGAGTGTACAAATTAGTACTTTACTTTGAATGATGTTGAAAGACAGACTAAAAGGAGTGACTGGTTGTAAAACGTGTTCACATGGTACTTGGCAGAACATCAATAGCTGCTAACACACTTGAGATTAGAAGGAAATGGTGGAACTTGCCCCTGTGGCTTTCTCATCACTGAGTTTACAAAATTAGAGTGAATTGAAACACAGACATTTAAACTTGTACCTTATCTATCAGTAATGTGTTAAAAACAAATGTACTAAATCCTTTGCTCTTGGAACATTAAAGTCATAACATTGTTCTGACACTCAAATGACTGATTCATGGAATTGTGTTAGTTTCCCAGCTGTGCATTGTTCTTGGTCGTGGTTATCCTGGCGTTTAGAGGTGGGGTCAGCGGAGAACCATTTCCTCGCACTTAGAGCTGTGTTTAGTTATTTAGCTCAGTTATCTGTGTTGACTTTCCACACCTTTCAGCACATTATTTAAGGAACATTCTTTTAGCATTTTCCTTGATTTCAGTGGATAGGCTTGATGAATTGGAGAATTTTAATACAGAAAATAGACAAACTATTTCATATGATTTTTCAACAAAGTGCAGAATACTTGGCACTCTACTAAACACACAGCATCTCTCTACATTGTGAAATGAAAAGACCAGTTTATGCAGACTTCCAAATGCTAACAGCAGGATAAATTAAAGCAAATGCAATCCATACTAATACAAAT